TACTTATGTTGCCCTTGCCCCCCCCAAGTCCGAGTTTCAAATATGTCCATCCTTCGGGTGGTGCGCATTGCACTCTTTGTGTATGAAAATACCCGTCCCCTCCTCCCCCCATAAGAAACAGTTTTTTTAAAAAACCCAGAGATATGAAAGGATAAGGAGTTTGAGAAACTGCAGTAGTTTTGTATGGTTATAATATAGAAACAATAGCAGAGAGCACTGTGAGAAGAAGGTGAAGTGGGCAAGGCCCAGATCAAAAAATGACCCGTCATTCTAAAAAGTTTGGATTTTATCTTGAATAATTTCATAAAGGGCTATGACATGATCCGCCTGACAAATATTTGAGAAAGATCACTTTGGCAGCAGTATGAGAAATGAACCCCAAAAAAGGGCAAGACTTAAAGTAACCTACATTTATTGAGTGTTTACGTGTACTAGAAACTTTAAGAGACACGTCTATGTTGCCTAGGCAGTAGTGTAGTGGCTATTCACAGGTGCAATCACACTGCACTACAGCCTTGAACTCCTGGGCTCAAGCACTCTTTTTGCCTTGGCTTGCCGAGTAGCTGAGACTACAGGTACACATCACTGCACCCAGCTAATACTAAGAATTCTTCTAAGCCTTTTATGTATACCTACTCATTGAAATTTCATCTTAATCCAATGAGGTTTGCTATTATTATCACCACTAGTATATAAAGAAACTAAGGTCCAGGGAGGTTAAATACTCTATCTAGACTAGATGGAGTATAACCACACTGCAATGGTCATGGGAGAAGTAGTAAAACTTAGGTAGCAGAAATGACAAAGGGAGAATGGAGGATAGATTTGAAAGAAATTAAGTAGTTTTCACAGGACTTGGGAAGATAACTGAATATTGAGAGGTAATAAAAAGGCGAGAATTAAGAATGATCCCAGGCGAGGCGTGGCAGGTCACTATAACCCTAGAACTCTGAAAGGCCGAGGCAGGAAGATTGCTTGAGCTCAGGAGTTCGAGATCAGCCTGAGCAAGTGTGAGATCCCGTCTCTACTAAAAAAAACAATACAAAAATTAGCCGGGCGTGGTGGTACATGCCTGTAGTTCCAGCTACTTGGAAGGCTGAGGCAGGAGTATTGCTTGAACCCAGGAGTTTGAGGTTGCTGTGAGCCAGGCTGATGCCATGGCACTCTACTCAGGGCAACGGAGTAAGACTCTGTCTCAA